GGGTCACTTTAGTACTTATTGTACAAATAATTAAGCTATAGATAATGATTTGATATACTGATCATTAGCAATTTCCTGATAGAAAAAATTGATATAGGCTATAATGGAAATCAGTTCACTTTTGGTTTGATAAGGGGGTCATCTATTTATGACATCCACACAATTATGCTTTTATTAATCTGTATAAATTTAAACGGGAATACTCATTTTTATACATTAATAAAATTTGAGTACATGGGTTAGCAAGGCAAGGGATCAATCTAATATATAAAGTTCAAATTTTCTACTTATTTTTTTTTAATATTTAACTAGCCGTCCCGGCCAGGCCCTGCACTGGCATCTCTGAAAAACGTATCTGTCAAGGACCATAACTTGTGTGTTTAGTAATCAGCATTAACCCAGCATTGCCCACCCTAACCACAACCAACCAAAACACACAAAAAAACGCAAACATAACACTAACACAAAACAAACACAAACGAAAACACAAAAACAAACGCAAAGACAAACCCAACCACAAACAAAAAAGCAAACGAAAACAAATCCAAACGCAAACACAAACCTAACCACAACCAAACTAAACCAAAACACACCAAAAAAAACATCGCAAACATAACACAAATACAAACACAAATGAAAACACAAAAACAAACGCAAAAACAAACACAAACACAAACACAACCACAAACACAAAGAAAACACAATTGCAAAAAAAAAAAAGCAAACGAAAACACAAAAGCAAACGAAAACACAAACGCAAAGAAAAAAAGCAAACGAAAACAAACCCAAACCCAAATAAAACACAAACGCAAAAAAAACCCTCAGTGTCCACAGTCTAGCCCGGGCGCCAAACCGCACCTTGATGACGTGCGGTGTAAACGCCTGATTCAACTTAGTAAACGACTATAGTAGCCAACTTATTCATAGTCTTTTGAACTCACGCGAACATAGGTACCATAGCGAACACGGGAAGGCCCGGGGCGCCAAATAGCACCCTGTCGAAGTGCTGGAGGACGCCCAAATTTGATTAACTTAAAGACTATAGTAACCTTTCTTATCCATAGTCTATCGCACGGTTTAAAACAAAATTATACAGCATAGTGCTCATATGATAGCCCAGGGCGCCAAATCCAACCAGTAAACAAAATTCAGTAAACAAAATTATAATACTTTAAGCTTATCCGTAAATGGAAAGAAATAAACATAGGATTTGTAGGACCTGGCTTATTAAATGTTATTGATTTAAAAAAATAATTAGTAAACAGTATATTCAGTGTATAGAATAAAAAAAAGGCAGTATTAAAAATACCAACGACATTGCACTTAATCTATCCCCGCTAATTATGTAATTATTTTTTTTCCTAAACAAAGTAATAAAAAGTAAATTCTTTCACCCCCCCCCCCCCCCCCGATTTAATGGGTTTTTTTTTAAAGGGAAGTAACTGTGTTTTCCAAATCAAGGGACGTTATGAGAACTAAAGGACAAATGCAAAAACATTTCAGACACAATTTTAGAAATTTTATAAACGATACACTTTTTAAAAAATTTTATGTAATGTTCGTAATTGAAAATTATTATTCTAAGTATATAAAATGAAAATTGTTTTGAAAGACTTTCAATAGTAATTTTTTAACTCATAAATTTAGACCATGAGTACTTTAATAATCTAACACTTGAATCCATCGAGGTTTCGTTTTTTTTTCTATTCCTTTGTAATCCTCGATTACAAACATACAGAACTGAGCTTTATATATTAGATTCCTCATACCAGTTTTTATTTCATAATTTAAATCTAATATATAAAGATGACATTTTCTTCTTCTTCACATTTTCAATTTAATAATGTTTTAAAATGTTTTTGATTTCTAATACAAAATGTCTAATGGTGCATTTGGTAGAGGTTGAGAGTTGGCTGTGGTACGGCTTGTCAGGATAGATCTAAGATATGTCTGGACTGTTCTGCTGGTTTGGCAGGTCCTCATAAGAGTTATTTATCCTTAATGGTCATTTTTGTAATCAATCAGTAATCTGTTGTCTGGTGTAATGCAGAAGTAGATTTCACAGAATCCCTCTTCTTTTACTGGGTGCATTTCATTGTTGTGAATACTCCAGCGCTCTTCTCTTCTGAGAAGAAACAAGAATCACAGTAATAACACTAGAATGCAAGTTCCTCTGTGTGATTCCTCGCATGATGACCGATTGCTCGACTGCTTTCAATTTTGTTTTTGCAGTGCAAGTATTTTTTAAATTGTCTTCTCCTGGCTATGGCGGTAAGGATAAAAAGTGATTTGTTTTTGTAGTTTATTTTGATGCAGTGTGGGATGATAGAGGGTTTGTCAGTGTAGATAGAAAAGCTACGATTATTAGCACATGGGATTGTGCTTATGGATGATTCTTTGTTATGGGATAGGCGTAGTGCTTGTATGAGTGTTGTGTTAAGTGTAGGGGTACCCATCTAAGGGTCCCGTTGATTTTATTGTTTTCATGAAGTGAGAAGTGCAGTGTATATGGGCTGTGCCTTTTTATTGTGTTGAGCAGTGTGGTGACGTCAAAGGCTTGTGAGGCGTGGTAACAAGTGTCAGCTCTGCCGAAGTTGAGTAGAAGAATGGCTGATGAGATATCTTATATGGCCTCACAGGTTTGGTTGTCCTCTTGATGTGATGAATGCTTACATTGTAGGCTAGGCTAATACAGTTGAATAAGGTCTGGACATTCTGCTTCAGGTAGATGTAGAGTTACTGCTGTTGAATCTGAAAAGGTTTGGGTCATTTATTTCATTAAACTACTTGAGCCGTGACTCAAGTAGCTCCTCTCACAGGCGCTTGTCTTATAGGGAATAGTGGAAATTGGAGAAATCCCACTGCTGGTGTTGGTAATAGTAGCTTTTTCCATATAAAGTTCAAATGGACTCTGGGCCAGTAAAAAACTTGACTTGATCAGCATAGCGCAATATTTGTGTTTAATTTTGTACTTAAGTCTCAATGGATGGTGCTCCAACAGGGTGCTATCTACCGCAACCGGTCTTCCCGTGAGCAACATTGCGCTTACATTTGTTTTAAAGAGAGAAACAGACTGTGGATAAGATGGGGTATTTAGTCATTTATTACGTTCATTAAATTGAATCAGGTCCAGTAGGGTGTGGTTTGGAGCCCCAGGCTATACTGTGAGCACTACATTTATGCTTGCGTTTAAGTTTGCGTTAAAGTTTGAGTCTATATTTGCTTTTAAGGTTTGAGTTTATGTTTAATTTTTTTGCACATTTTTTCAGCGTTATTGTTTGCATTTGCATTAATTTTTACGCTTACATTAACCTAGTGTTTATGTATCCAATTAAATTTACGTTTATAATTATGTTTGTATTTATGTTTTTGCTTGCTATTGCGTTTTTGTGTTAATGTTTAAGTATTGTTTGTGTTACATTTGCAATTGTAATTTGAATGTGGTTATGCTTAAGTTTAGGAAGGGGGTGGTCTAAAATTATTATTCTATATGGAAGTCAAAGACTGATGACCGCCTTTAGTTTTTGTATTGTGAGAATAACCCCAATCCTGTTAATCTTCTTAGCCATTTACATCCCAAACTCCAAAAAAAAATACCTCTAAGGTTGAATATAAAAAAACTTAATCTCTCAGAAAATTGCACAGATTAATAAACCAACTTACAGGATGGATAACTGAACTGATCCCTGCTGCAAAGAACTTGAGTGCATTTCCTTTCATCTTTTTACCTCTATGGAAATAATAATAAAAATATTTATTTTTTTAAATTATTTATTTTTATTAAATTATCAAATTAATAAAGGACAATTGTTTCTTTTTTAAATGATACAATAAAAGGTCGGCCCTATTTTATTTTTCAAATTTTACTTGGGTTACAATGTTCATGTGCAGTGGTGTCGCTAGGTCGGGTGTCACCCGGTGCCGCAACTAATGGTGTCACCCTCCGAAAGAATCTATATATATAATTCTCTTCTTGGATACCCCAGAAAACACCAAGCTGTAAGCGCGCCTTGCAGTCCCCTCTCTTCCTCTCTAGGCATATCCCTAACCCCCCACATGGTCTGGTGAGCTGTGGTTCACGCTAAATGTTTACAATTGTAGAGCCGGGTTTAGTGACAGCTATTAGGGGCAGATACTTTAGTTTGAAACGATTTTAAACTTAGGGGAGGTAACTAAAAAGAGGCTGCTTTCACAGGAAAGGGGGGGGGGTGGTTATTTGTATTTAATGAGCTACTGATAGTGTTTTAAATTATGAATTACTGAAAAGTAGAAAATAAAACAACTAAATAGCGGTATATAATTCGCCGCAGGTAGGCTCGTTATATATATATATATATCTACATATATATAAACATACATATCTGTATGTATATATGTGTGTATATATATGTACGAGAAAAATGGCCCGTTGAGGAAGGATACACCGGGCGCTAGGTTGATAGTGCTGTCTCTTTTCTCTAAACTAAAACCAACCCACCCCCCCACACACACACACCACCCCCCCCCACCCCCCCCACACACCAGCCCCCCCCCCCCCACCCCACCCCCCGCCACCCACCCCCACCCCACCCCCACCCCCCAAAAAACATGTCTACCGTCCCATTCAACGAAATATAATTATATACTTTTTCCAGTGTCCGCCCCCTCCCCGAAAATTTTACCCCCGCCCCCGAAAATTTCAAGTACCCCCACCGCTCTCCGGGGAGGAAAAAGTCTGAAAGAAACACTGGTGTCGCGCTTAGCCACTACGCGAAGAATTGCATTAAAGAAATTGCGAGAAAACCACTTTTTAGATTAGACACATTAATTAGGCGGTAATTTTATTATAGAGTATCGATGAGGAAACCACCGCCCCACCCACCCCCCCACTCACACCTCCCCCCCCCACTCCCCACCCCCCCCCCCCCCCCACTCCCAAAAAAAACATGTCTACCGTCCCATTCAACGAAATATAATTATATACTTTTTCCAGTGTCCGCCCCCCCTCCCCGAAAATTCTAACCCCGCCCTCGAAAATTTCAATTACCCCCACCCCTCTCCGGGGAGGAAAAAGTCTGAAAGAAACACTGGTGTCGCGCTTAGCCACTACCCGAAGAATTGCATTAAAGAAATTGCAAGAAAACCACTTTTTAGATTAGACACATTAATTAGGCGGTAATTTTATTATAGAGTATCGATGAAGAAATTTCTTTTGAGTTGGGGAGGGGGGGGGGGGGCTCAGACGTTCTTACGCGGGGGGTGGGGCTTCGCCCCTACCCGAAGAATTGTATGCAAGAAACTCTTCACGCAAACCATTAAGATTAGACAACATTTCCTTTGTATTCAATGTTTACGCGATAATCAATGACGTCATATCAATGTGTGCACTATCCGGCTTGAGATTATTTTCTACTCTGTGCGCTAAATGTGTCGACGTCATACTTCGTTTTTCGAATTACTGTGCATGTTTTTAAATTGCTTGTCTTTTCTCTAGAGCGTTCTTGTCAGACAGATAGATAGATAGATAGATAGATAGACAGACAGCGAAACTATTATTATAGATATATGTGTATATATATGTGTGTATATATATGTATATATATATGCATGTATATATACATGTATATATATATGTGTGTGTATAGATATATGTGTATATATATGTGTATATATATGTGTGTATGTATGTGTGTATGTATGTGTATATGTATGTATATATGTGTATATATATATATGTATATATATATGTATATATATATATGTATATATATGTATGTATGTGTATATATGTATGTATGTGTATATATATATATATATATATATATATATATATATATATATATATATATATATATATATATATATATATATATATATATATATATATACATACATATACACACATATATATACTAGCCTACCTTTCCATAGCGTTGCCATGGGGATAGAAGAAAGTCTGACGAAATATATCAGAAGGGTTGCATGAATGCTTTACCAATCCTTTGTTCTTAGATGTGTAACCTTGTTTTCTAAAACTGAGTTATTTAAATGTAAACAATGCCTGCGCTTGGATCATAAATATTGGATCATAAATATCGGGACACTGGTTTACCTACACTACAATATGAAAACTTGAGTGTACAATATGTGTATACACAGTTGTATAAGTATTTTTAAATGTTTTTGAAGCTAGACAATTTAATGTTAGATGTGAGCTCAGTTAAAGAAGATAGTTCTAATGATACAGAAACCAGCGCAATTGTTCCCAATTTGAGAAAACAAAATGATGCTTGTAGTGACAGATTACCTAGGTTAGAGAAGGAAGTAAACAATAAAAGTGAAGATTACGTTCAGAAAAATTTAATCGTCGAGAAAGCACAATGTTATCCCGGGTCAGCACCTAGTCAGTTAATACCACAAGTTCAAGGAACCACAGAGCCTAAGGAAACAACTGTGAAACAAGTACAGGACATACATAGTATTGATACATATATATCACCCGTCAGAAAGTCAGAACTCGCTGGAGTTGTATCAGGTAGTAACCGCTGGCATGAACAAAGACCGCAGGTTGACTATCCAAACCCAAACAATCATTCTGAGGTTCATTGATCCCTTAATAGGTAAAAATTCCACCCTGATTACTCCATGACGAACGGTTTTGAACATGAAGTGAGATGAAAAATTATAGAACAGCCAGAATCCGACGCTGTCTTTGTGAATGCTACACACCCTGACGCCCAGCGGAAATGAACCCAGCGGCAAAACGTTCAATTCATCTGCAACGGAAGCCACAGTTCGAAATATGTTAAGGACGAGTGACAAGTGAACGTGAACGTATACCAAGCGCATCATTAATGTCACGTCAGCAGGAACACATCGAAAGGAACCGAGTCGAATTGAGTTGTCATCTTAACCAGAGGAATGAAGCCTTACGCATGGTCGCTGTCAATTTTTTTGACCTAGTTATAACGGCAAGTTGATCCAATAATTGTATTAATAACAGCTGTACAGTTATGGACGTTGAAAAGGAGCAAGGTTCGTGTGATAATAAAGCTCAAGGGACCATTTTGACTTCAAACGTCATGTATAACCACTGAAACTTCTATCAACAATTGAGTCTTACACTATTTATTGAACTGTCTACTGATACAGATTCATGGTTCACCAATGGCAAATTGCTCAGGATAGAGCATAAGGACATTAATGTTGGAACAAGAATGTGTAAATGTTCGAAATTTGGTCATTGTAATTTTTTTTTTGGAAATTAATTATTGATTTCGCTAAGACTTAGCATAATGTACTAGGATACCCGGTGATATAATGGGGTTCTATGTAACACAGTTGCAATGATTTCTAGGCATATGATTATTGTATCTGAGTGATATGTATTTACTAAGGGTACTTTGATGATTAAACATGAAATGGTACAATGTGAGGTAAAATGGAATAATTTTTGAGTGGCACACAATGATAGGATAAGTTATGACGAGATAATTATACTACAGTTACGATGTTGAAGTTGCTTTAATATGGTATAGCATACGTGGAGATTCTAGGGGTTTTGAGTATAATAGTATGATACAAAAGTTATTTTAAATGGATGTTTTTCTTCTTTAAGTTGATGATAAACCTGGTATACTTGTAAGACATATTGTGGGGATAATGAGATTTGTTTTGTACGGGTATCTCGAAGATGAGTTGAGTGCCATGCTATTTTTCTAGGTGTTATCGAGACTGATGATGCAGTGTGATGTGTTTCTTTGGTAACCCGATGGTTTGCCGAGTACCATATCTTACCTTGGTTACTACTATGTGATGTTGAGGATTATGATGCTGTGGTCTGATTTTTTAGGTATCTCGATGGTGTGCCGAGTAATTCGATATGTATTTAAGTGTCCGGGGATTACTATTTGTACCTGTCGTTATAACATATGAGATGGAAATATGCAAATGTTGATATTGCAAGGAAATATGAAATTTGATGTGGGTACTGAAGTACTTTGCACTAAATTGTGTGTTTGTAGGATATATTATTAGGTAAAACAGAGGGTATGATGCAATATTAAAGCTAATGTAATTAGCTTGAAGGGAGAGGGGGGTAATGTGTGACGCTGTACGAAAGATAGTGACGTTTTAGGGTAGAGAGTTGGTTGCTATGAGTTTATGTGTGAGTGAGTCTAATCTTGATCGTCGGTGTGGAAGGACGTGTGCTGGTCCGTATGCCTCAAGCTGGGAGATAGATATATATAGATACCAGAATAAAATGTTAGACTAGGAATATTGAGTTTGTCTTATCTCTGAGCGTCATATACTGGACTGAACGTGAGATAGCCGTACTGGTCCTCAAGGTTAGAACTTTTCTCCCGGGTATTGGAGAAGAACTAAATGGTAGTTGGTCGAGTCAAATGACTCAAACCCTCTCGCACAATCCACATTAGGGATGTTTTCTTAGAGGTCATCTACGCTTTTTCCTTATTTTTAAAACTAGGTAAGAAATTAGCAAAAAACTAAAACAAGTTAATTAAAAAGTCTAGTGACAATTTAAGCGCAATTTCCTTATGTTATCCATAATAATTTTAAATCGTCATCACGATCCATGGCTGCGCCATCACGTTCAGTAGGCGCGCAATGGTTTTTAGTCATATAACTATATTGCTATATAGTACTGTAGTGTATTATGTATAATGTAAGTTTAAAAAAAATTTTGTGACCGAACGAAAGGATATTTTTGAAAACTTTCTTCGGCAATATTGTTCTAAATTATGGCAGGAATCGATTGGTAAATGTTTCAAGTTGCTAAGTGGTCTGGTTGCCGAGATATGGGCCAAAAACTGCATTTTTTCGAGGTTTTTTGGCTTTTCTGGGAAATCCAGGAAGGAATTCCGGAATTTTTTTGGCCCACTATCATCTTCGTAACTTGCTTAACATAATTGCTTTTGGAACTAGTCCTCTATATTGCTTCGTTGAGGAGGAGATACATCCATCCAGAAATGACGGGTTAATAAATGCAATTCTCCAGAATGGAAATTGCGCTAAAAAAATGTGGACAAATTATGAGAAAATAAATTAGCTGAGGAAAATTTCTGCAAAAATGAAAAAAATTAGGAAAAGTCACATCCATGTGTAATGAAATAACACTGCCTCAGGTTAGTTTTGATACTTTTAACAATTTTTCCAGAATAGTGGGTATCGTCCCTACCCAGTCTATGAGATGATAATTCATGGTAAGTTATGAGGCCCACTCAAGGCAATGGAGGCCAACCAATAATTTTTCCTGTATTCAATTAGCGAGACCAAAGTAAAGCCTGTACAGAATTTTGGGAAGTGCCTGTATTTTAAATTTTAATTAAAGATTTTAAAAAAGGCTCACCTTGCTCTCATTTGCTGAATTGCTTCTGGTGGTAAATTACCCATTACCACAGAGACATTGACACCTGCCTTTTCAAACACCATACCATCTTGCAAAACACAACTAATACCACCACCACCCTAATAAAAAAAGGAAATTGTTATTGTAAATCATACTAGATCTATAACATATTTGCATCTTTCAAATTTAAATTTCAACCTGCTAAATTGCACACATAATTTATAAAAACATTGAGTACCTGTTCTCTAAACCATCTATCTACTTGAAACTTTTTACCACCTTCCTCAATCTCTTCATCTTCTAAAGCATGACAGAATTCAGCCTGTACTCGCATTATCAAAGCTTCTACACGTACTCTCATACTGTTTTCATTCTTAAGAAACAAAAAAGTAGGAAAAGCCTTTTATTATATTTACAAATTACAAATGAAAAATGCACTAATTACTTTGCTGTAACCTTAATAAAGCTATATGATGGTATGACTAAGATTAATAGCCTGATGTAGAAAGGTAAATATGAGACTATTAATTAAAAGTTTTATATGAATTTAAGAATTTCCTCTAAAGAAAAAAACCCACTTCTATTAAGGGTGTCAAACTGATTTTTTTAAAATGGTCCCAGAGCTGTTTTGAAAGTTGTTATGTCAAGAACTCATGATTCTACAATAGCGTGCACTAAATTTGTTCATAGTTATGAAAAAGCTGGTTATTAACTTCTTTTTTCAACACCCTAAAGGGTGCCATGTTTGAGAGGATTTATCTGTAAATATATGTCACAAACAAAATCTTTTGAATTTAATACAAAGACACATACACAGAGAACAGGCCAATTTTTTTTAAATCTAAAAAATAAGAACATAATAGAATTTTATTGCAATGAAAATGGCTTTTCTGACTTTTTGATAAAATTCAAAAGGGAATTAAAAAACATATTTTGTACATTTAAAAAAAAATCACCAAAAATTTTAGGATGAAAGAGCATACTTGATAAGTATTTCATAATGTTGGGGAACAAACAGGGCTGGCGCTACCTATAAGGCGAACTACATTTTTTTTTAAGGGAAGTAATTGAGTCTTTCTAATTTATCAAGGGAAGTAATTAGTGCTTAATGACTAAGTGAAATAATTTTCAGACAATTAGAATTTTTGTGAAGGGTGATATATTTTCTTTAATTTTGTTTAATGCACATATCAATTAACACTATAAGTTTGGAAAATGAAATTAGTTTTATAACACCTTCAATATTAACTTTTTAAATCATTTTTTTAGATGATGAATATTATACTATGTAGGGTGTCACCTATGATTATAAAATGAATCATTGTATTAAAATATGTACTTATTTGAAAAGTACATTTATTTACCTTTAATTTGGTACCAAGTTCAATGATGAATGTAAATCAGTATTCTAGAAAATGCTTTCTAAAAAAACGCGTTTGTTTTTAAATGGCTACCATGTCTAACTTCAATTTCTTTGTTAGCGCCAGTCAGTTATCGATAATTAGTGAATTGTTGTGCATCGTCTGCTATAGTTTTTTTATGGATAGAACATTTTGTACTGTTTGAGCTAGTACAAATTAGCATTGGTGTTGTCATAGAGATAGTACCATCATAGTACATTCAACCAAGTACTCCACTTACTTAGAACTTAGAAGTTAAGAGTGCTATCTATCAGTAATACTAATATTAGATCGAGAATCTAGATCTATAATATTCTAGATATTTATGGTCTGCATTTGGAGATAGTTCAAATAAATTAATAACTATCTAAGATTTTTAAGTCAATAAGTGAAGGAATTAAAAAAAAAAAAAACTACAAGACAACAGAGTAAAGACCAGATCTTGGTCAATCAATAGTTTTTATTATTTGTATTTAATATTTAAATATTTTAAGGCAGCTTTAAGGGCTATTAACCATAATTAATTAAATTAATAATAATTAATATAGGGCCTAATAATAATTGATAGGGTAGGCCTAACTAACTAGCTAAGTAACTAACACTTCAGTGTCTTCACTACTTAGCTAGTCCTTATAGTTTATAGCCAGGCCTAACTAGATCTAACAAAATCTAATTAAAGTAATTAACGTATAAAATAGGTCTAAGAAGTAAATAAGAATTTAACAGTTAATTTTCGTTGATAATAATTTTTTATAATAGATCTAAATATAATCCAAAATATTTTTAAAATATGTACTATTTTAATTGATCAATACTAGGTCTAATTTTAGCTTAGCCTTCCAAGATAGCTAGTAAATGGCAAGAAGAATACATAGTAAATATCACAGACAAACCTGTTGCAATGACTACATTAAAATCTAGTAAATTTTAACAACTGTATAAACAGATTTCTTTTTTATAAAGAAAGATATTAAGCAATTAACAACAAAATTGAGTGAAAATAGCATGAGCAAGATAGAAGGGGTTACATTTTTTTTAAACCAAAAGAACTTGATCCGTACAAAGTTGTTTTATATACATACATAATTTCAAATAAGGGTTAAAAAAGTAGGTCCTACTGCTTTTTTTTACTTTAATATTCCTTTGTTACCACTGGTCAATCCATCCGCCAAACACAGAATTGAACTTTATATAAACTACATTCAGGGTTCATGATCCACACTAAAATCAAATTCCAGGAGTTTTCCAGATTTCCAGGAGTTTTAAATAAATTCCAGTAAATTTTTAAAATTAAGAAATCTGTATGGTATGGCCACATTTACATTAATCCTTTGAGCCTGGGCTTCCCTGGCTTTATTTCTCCCATTTCCTGAGCTCACAGGCCCAAACCGATTTTCACTTATCTGTTTCTAACTTTGCCTATTACTTTTGAACCCTTTGAGATAATCAAACCACATTTGATACCAATGTTCAGTATCAAACAATAATTCAGCAAGATTCGGAAATTCTTTATTCTTTTACAATGTTTGAACATAACAATGTATATAAAACGAAGACAGCCTATAGCTGTGGCTCAGTTTTTCGTTTTAGCAGCATTGCTAAAAAAAAAATTATTTGTACAACAAATGTTTGCACCAATAAAATATTTATATACCTATAATTGTTTATACTACTTGCTAAACATAATGACAAAACTAGAGTAACTTACCTATTTATTGTTATTATAATAATAATTATAACCAAATATTAAA